GCACATCTGGAGAGTCAAGGGCAGGATGGCTCCCCTTCCTCCTCACTTGTGCTCCACAAATTAATATTAATATTTTAAAGTTTACTTCAGTTATGCAAAATAAAGTGAAAAAAGAAAAAAAGTGCAACATATGCTATTATATATATGACTCTTACATATGCTAATACATATGATTATATTCTGTATAAACTCATTCCAAATATCAATATATCTACCCAAACAATGTCTAATCTCTAAGCAGTCTGTTCATATGCTGTGAATGCTGCCATGTCTCCAGTCCATTGATTAAAGGGGAGTATATCTCTGTTCTTCCAGTTCATCAATCCCAGTCTTTTGGCCATTATTAGGGCACATAGAATCCATTATCGCACTGCAGTTGTCAACTTCCATATAATAGGTAGATGATTCAAAAAATAGTTTCCTCTGAAATTTTTATATTTTCCTGTACAGTACAGTCAAGTTTACACAGTTCAACACTTTCTTCCAAAACTTAGTGAGAATAGGACACTGTAAGCATGGGTGTAGCCAGAGGGGGGGGGGGCAGATGAGGGCAGCTGCCCCCATCAAGTAAATGAATAAAAATACTTAAGTAACTGACCAATTGCGTCACAGATATCTCATCTGATGCATCTGAGAAATTATATTTATCTCCTAAAACACTACACGTATAAAATTCATCTTTCTCATCTATCAGTTGATCCGAAGTCAATATGCCCTCTTCCATCCAATTTTTTCAAATTACCATCTTTTTTCCAGTTTATAAAATTGGGTTTCCCCACAAAGTCAATTCACTGTGTGAAAATGGATCAAACTGGTTTTTATTAGACATTGTGTTCCATATCTTTCTGGCTTGTCTCAACAGTCTCCCAAATTTTCAAATATCTTGATCCTAGTATTGTCCAACCACCTAAAGGTGCTGTATGTGTGTGTTCTAAAGTTGCCCAAGTTGCACAGTTAACACCAGATACAGTGAAACCTCAGCTATCAAATGCAATCCGTTCCGGAAGACTGTTCGACTTCCGAAATGTTCGACAACCAAGGTGTGGCTTCCGATTGGTTGCAAGAGCTTCTTGCACTCAAGCAGAAGCTGCGTCGGACATTCAAGTTCTGAAAAACATTTGAAAACCGGAACATTTAATTCCAAGTTTTTGGCATTCAGGACCCTAAACGCACCATAACAAAGGCATTCGGGAACCGAGGTTTGACTGTAGTAGGTTTCCAATATTTAGTATTTGACAATAAATAAGCACAATGGTCTAGTTCCAAATTTGGAATACCAAATCCACATCCATTAATTTGTACAGTAGTTTCATTTTTTACAGGGATATTCTTGGAGTTATGTGAAGCATCCTACTAAAAGAACATATACATTTTTCTCAAGGGTCCATCAAAAAATGTTCTGTCAGCGACCATGCTGAGGAAGGATGCACTGAGGAAGAATGGTGGGAGCCACCCCCTCCCCTTGATCCTGATCCTGAATTTCCCAGGAGCAAGAGGACAGTATAGATTTGGAACAGTGGTGTGCAGAGGGGCATAGTTCAGAAGGCAGAAGTTGGGAAATACTGGAGGGGAAACAGCTAGGAGAAGAAACACTGGGAGAGAGAGAGTTAACAGATTCACAGTCTCTGGACAGCATTCCTTCACCACCCTCTCCAAGGTCAAGAAGAGCTCAGAAAGTCTCAGAACAGAAAGTGCTGAGATTACAAACTCAGATTACAAAATGTAGGAATGACGTAGATTAATAGGGATGGAGGGAGGGTTCCTTAATTGGGAGCACCGCCATTCTAGGTAGACTGGTTCTTTGTCTCTCACTGTGATTATTAAAGAATCTAACTGTTAAGACATTCCTTTTGTTCGATCTCTTCTTATTTACTGCCACGGGAGAGGAAGCCGATTCCCCAAAGCCTAAAATCTGCCTAGATTATTTTCTAATACCATTTTTGCTATATCACCAATATTGTAGCATTGATATTAGTTATGCATCAGATCTTAGTGCAATTATTTTTATTATTTGTAATGCCTAATAAAGGTTTGGTGAAACAAGTAAGCAATTATCTTGAATTGTGTGTTTCATAAATTGGATAAGGCATTGAGAAATTAGCATTTTAATGTTTCCTTATTTAATGATAATGAATTTCTACAACAAATGTGGGCAGAGACCCTACAATATTTTGAATTTAATTTCAAGACATCATCTGCCTGAATATTTGAATGGGAAGCATATAAAACATATACTTGGGGCCAAATAATTGCACACTCATCATAAAAAATAGACTTTGAAATAAGAGGGAAAATATGTTGAGAGATGAATTGAAAGACCTATGGGTGCAAATGGTTAGGAATCCAACTGCTGCATTGTATAATGAAATACAAAAAGGAAATATGAATTAAACAATAGATTATCTCAGCAAATAGAATGTATGCTCATCTGTGTAAGAAAGACAGAGATATTGGGAGAATGGTGAACAGCCAGGTAAAAGTTTGGCTAATTGATTAAAACAAAAGAAAGATAAGGCAATGATCCCAGGAGGGGAAGATGAAGTCTATAAAAGCTCAAAAGATATTAATGATCTTTTTAATGTAAAAATGGAATTACTGGTATATACCATACCAAAAGGGGATGCGGGTGGCGCTGTGGGTTAAACCACAGAGGCTAGGACTTGCTGATCAGAAGGCTGGCGGTTCGAATTCCCGCGACAGGATGAGATCCCGTTGCTCGGTCCCAGCTCCTGCCCACCTAGCAGTTTGAAAGCACGTCAAAGTGCAAGTAGATAAATAGGTACCACTCTGGCGGGAAGGAAAACGACATTTCCGTGCTCTGCTCTGGTTTCGCTTAGTCCTGGTTTCAGGCTTAGTCCTGCTGGCCACATGACCTGGAAGCTGCCTGCGGACAAACGCCGGTTCCCTTGGCCAATAAAGTGAGATGAGCGTGCAACCCCAGAGTCGGTCACGACTGGACCTAACGGTCAGGGGTCCCTTTACCTTTACCTTTTACCATACCAAAAAATGTAGTGGATGGTGATATAGAAGCTTTTTAAATTAAATTAATCTACCACATCTAGATGATACACAAAAACAAATGTTAGTTGCACCAATATCAGAAGCAGAGATTAAGCAAATCGTTTTTAAAATGAGAAGCGGTTTTGAAATAAATAAAAGAATGTCATCAGCAAATAAAATCAATTTATATTCAACTGAATTGTAAATTACTCTGTAGATCTTGCTATGTTGTCTACTAGAACAAGCCAGGGGTTCTAAGCAAATATTCAAAAACAACAACAAGGGTGACAAAGGAAGTTTTCTAAAGCAAGCCAAATTGCCAGAGGACTACACATTTCACACCAAAGCATATTTAAGGTTTGCTTAAAATACCAGGACCAAGTGCATAAGTTCAAGGTCCCTGAAAATGCAGAAGCCTATCTAGTTGCGATCAAATCTACAGAGGGCTAAGCATATGTGCAGGTGGAAAGAAGAAACATGAAGGCTTTGAGGAACCTCCCCCACAGCAACCGCCCTCCTCTTTGCAGTTATGTTTGGTTGATTTTTTTTGTTAGCTTGTCTCTGCCACTAAAGCACACTAGCTATTTAGGCATTTGGAGAAGGATGCCAGAAGAACATTCCTTTGCTCCCTCTTGAAGACTCAGTCTGATAAGCTTCTTAATTTACTGCCAACGCGGGTGGCGCTGTGGGTAAAACCTCAGTGCCTAGGACTTGCTGATCGTATGGTCGGCGGTTCGAATCCCCGCGGCAGGGTGAGCTCCCGTCGTTCGGTCCCAGCTCCTGCCCACCTAGCAGTTCGAAAGCACCCCTAAGTGCAAGTAGATAAATAGGGACCGCTTTATAGCGGGAAGGTAAACGGCGTTTCCGTGTGCGGCACTGGTGCTGGCTCGCCAGAGCAGCTTCGTCACGCTGGCCATGTGACCCGGAAGTGAGATGAGCGCACAACCCTAGAGTCGGTCACAACAGGCCCGTACGGGCAGGGGTACCTTTACCTTTACCTTAGAAAACATTTTGCTGTTAAACGCTCAGAAGAAGCGTTCTGAAAACTTTTACAGTGTAGAGAGAACCTTTTTTTGTGATGCTGACACATTCAGGAAGTCATATTTTTCCTTTTTTATGGTATTTTGCTTACTATTTTTATTAATTGTTGCACTTTCCTATTTTTTCTAATTTTAGGTTTTTTCTATTTTCTTTATTTTTCTTTTGTTTGCTTTTTAATCTTTTAAGGTTCTTTTTTATATTTCTACTTTCCTTTAGTATTTTTTTATATCACATAATCATGCCCCCCCCTTTTGTTGTTGTGGATATATATATATATATATATATATATATATATATATATATATATGCTTTCGTAGATTTTCACGGGTACAGGAATGCAGGTTTTGGTGTCCTCGGGTGTCTTCCCGTGTAAAAGTTGGGGTGTCTAGGCGACGTTTCGACGAGGTCTCACTCGTCATCTTCAGGCTGGTGCTTTCGGCTTCCAGTAACAAGAAGCCGAAAGCACCAGCCTGAAGATGACGAGTGAGACCTCGTCGAAACGTCGCCTAGACACCCCAACTTTTACACGGGAAGACACCCGAGGACACCAAAACCTGCATATATATATATATATATATATATTAGCCTATTGTGTAAATTCAATACATATATATACATATACATACATATATGTATGTATGTATTGAATTTACACAATAGGCTAAACATTAATAGAAGACTTATATCTATAAGCAGTGCTTTTTTCTGGGGGGACGCAGGAGTACACATACCCCTAAACATTTTGTGAATCTAAGTTTGGCCTCATTGAGGGCAGTATTTCAATATGAGTAGGAAAATGAGAGTACCCCTAAACATTTTTTAGGAAAAAAGCACTGTCTATAAGTGATATCATTAAATCCTTGCCATTTCAATATGAGTAGGAAAATGAGAGTACCCCTAAACATTTTTTAGGAAAAAAGCACTGTCTATAAGTGATATCATTAAATCTCTCCTTTTTTGGCCAAATCATTTTTATTAGTTTTCCCAATTTTACCAAATCAGCCACAAATTAAGACAAATTTAATACAATATCTCCAAAAACTGGTTTCCTGCACTCCATTCTTGATGTGTCCAAACTTTCCTCTTGATGATGCTTTATTTTCCTAGTTGTTTCTAATTGACATTACATTCCTTACAGTTAACATCATATTCCAATAGTTTTTTGTTGCTTTAGATTTTAGTTATCCTTAACCATCAGTCATCTTTGTGCTCTGCTTCTGCCACCAAAGTAGCAGGCTGGATAGAGATGTTGGGTCTTGAACTCTCCGTCGCAGAGACAACAGCCAGCAATAATCCACTCTGTCCCACTGGTATATCACAGAACTTCCCCAGCTGAAAAGAAAATGGCAAGGAGTGGGCTGTTTTCAAGCAAAGCACGCCGATGATTAAATACTCCTTTTGAGCTCACAAGAGCCCCTGTTGCCTTTTTTCCACACTCCAGAATTTCCTTTGATCTTTACATCTAAGATTTATTCAATTTAAATTACATTCCAAGTCTTCTTCCTTTCCCTCTTGTTTTATAGAAAATGGAGAGTAGGGGATTGGCTCTATATTTCCAACATAATCCATTCAAAAATCAGAGTTTTCCCCCTCCCCCCCTACTTCATTTCAAATCACACACAGTCTCCATTGTTGCTATTTGTAATCTCATGTTACCCCCACTTCTTCCATCCTCACTCCTCTCTCTCTCTCCCTAACTTCCAATCTGCCAAATAATAAATGTAGAGAAGAAACTTAGTGGGCTTTCCTCTCCCCAACCGACTTTCCCACAGAATGAAATCTTATCTCAGTTCAAACCTTAGATCCATGCAGCTGAATGTCTCACAGTTTGTAATCGCATCTCCTCCAGCACGTGCCTTTACTTTAATTGCCAAATAAAATCCAATTAGTAGGATAACCTCTGCTTCCAGAAACAGAGTCAGGGTTGCAGCAGACGAAGTGTTCCTGCACCCAGTGCCTTTGCCTGCTCTCACATTCCATAGGGAAGCGAGTGCCAGAGCACATGCAGGTGAAATCCCATTCCTACCATGCCCCAAGAAGAATTCAGAGAATGGTTTAGCCCCCACCATTCTCTTTATCTGCGTCTCCCTGCAATGTCGAGGGAGTCATCCATTCCTGGCACAGACCAGAAATGGAAGCCCAAAGATAGATAGTCGTAATGTGAAATGGCTGCGAGAACCCAAGAAGCAGAATGTAATCCTAGTATATTTAAAGTCATTGAGAGCAAATATGGTTTTCTCCAGGAAATTCATCTAATGGATCAAAATAAAACAAGTAACAGAATGAGAGAAGTATATGTGACAAATAACTCAATCAATACTTTAAAAATAACACCTGTTTTTCTTGGGGGGGGATGCTAATGGAGTGACTTTCTTGGTGCAGAAAGGATTTTCAGTGGATGTACAATGGACCATCACTGATGATAATGGGTACTATTTAATTTTATGTGCTAAAATAGCAGGAAATGTAATGGCTATGGTCAATATTTATGGACCTAGTATGTTCTATGAATGTTTTAGAAATTTGAATGAGTGCCTCCTTCCCTTCAAATTAAAAAATCTTAGAGCAACCCTGAAAATCACACTTTTGAGTCCCATATATCAGTTGTTGCTGAACCAGTATTAGTTTTGAGTTTTCCACACACACCACAAACTTGAGGGGCAAGGCAGAAACATTGTTAGTCCTCATTTTAAAGTAGGAAAGTGTAAGTAATTTTCGGGGGGGGGGTTATCTTGGGCCTATTATACGGTCTACATTCGCACATACCTAATTTCTCCCTTTTATACTCTGTCCTTTACCACAGTACTAATATGGACATAATGGGACGCAGGTGACGCTGTGGTCTAAACCATTGAGCCTACGGCTTGCCCATCGGAAGGTCGGCAGTTCGGATCCCCGTGATGGGGTGAGCTCCTGTTGCTTGGTCCCAACTCCTGACAACCTAGCAGTTTTGAAAGCACGTCAAAGTGCATGTAGATAAATAGGTACCGCTCCGGCAGGAAGGTAAACGGCATTTCCGTGCGCTGCTCTGGTTTGCCAGAAGCAGCTTAGTCATGCTGGCCACATGACCCAGAAAAACTGTCTGCAGACAAACGTCAGCTCCCTCAGCCAGTAAAGCAAGATGAGTGCCGCAACCCCAGAGTCATTTGCGACTGGGCATAACTGTCAGGGGTCCTTGACCTTTACCTTTTTAATGAGGACATACTAATTTCTGACCTCCTTTTCGGGAGTTCTCCAGTGCTCCCTACTGGTAACTTTGCACTTCTTTACAGTATCAACTGCTTTTTAATTAAATTCACAAACTCCTTCTTCTTCTTGTTGTTGTTGTTCTTCTTCTTCTTCTTCTTCTTCTTCGGTGATCACTCTTAGCTGAGTAAGATTGTCTTGCATGAGCATGTTCTTAACAATGAGTCCATAAGTGACTGTGGAGGCCAATTCTGGATCCACACATCCTTTGACAGTGGGGACATAGGTTTCCAGGTGGGAGTTGATCACGGGGTGAGGGTTTGCCAAATGTGCCTTCCTCTTAAGCTCAACTATACTGTAGTCCACAAACTAGAGGTGTGTAGGTGCTATGACTGAGGCTGCTTTCCATTAATATCATCCATGCTCACTTTTTATTCATCACAGAAACTTGGCAGCTGCTATCTGTTCATATCTGAGAAGCAACTGCTGTAGTGAACTCCCTGGAAATAGGACTTGGATTCTGTAGGCTATGGAAGAGAACCTGCTCCATTCTTTCTGCGCATCTTCAACTGCTGGCTTCCAAATTCCATTCAAGGGACTGCTTAGCATCTCTAAAGCCAAGTGCCTCTTGAGCTGGCACTTCTGACATGGGTTGACCCTAGTGGTAGAAGTTCCAAGTTTTGAAAGCAACCTGGTGTGCAGTGGAAGCTTATGCATGTCTACTCAAAGGTAAGCTATACTGAGTTCAATAGGACTTGCTCCCAGGTAAGTAGGTATAGAATTTTAGCCAAACAGCACAATCCAATCCATCTCTCCCTCTGCTGCAAAGAGATGGCCTGTCTCTGCCTTGTTAAGGGAGGGAAGAGCCCAGTGGTTTTTACAAAATTCTTTTTTTTATTATTTAAAAATTCTTTTTAAAACATTCAGTTAAAAGCACTATCCTATGCATGTCTAACTGGAGTGGGGCTTACTCCCAGGTAAGTGGGTATAGGATTTCAGCCTAAGTTCTACACGTTAATTTCTAAAAACATCATTTGAAGTTATCAGACAGGTTCTTTTGCAGAAAGTAGAAGTCTGAGAAAAACAGAAAGGACAGCTTGTAAAAAAAATTATCATCGGTCATAATCATTTTTCTGCATAAGTTACTTCAAGATTATATGGATTGATTGATTTATTCCACTTACTCATCAGTCAGGCCACTTGCTGCTATTGGTAGCTGCAGATCTGTTGAATTCTGAGTAAATGAACTCCTAAGAGAGAAGAATGTATGTATAATAGAATTATTTCATTTTCCCTCTTAGAGTTTCTGCTGGCTTTGTGTAAAATGTTTTGCTGTTAAGAATAGGTTTCTGTTGTTTTCAGATGAGGTAAGTTAACTGAAATGACATAAGTCATGGGAAAATTTGACAGCTTGAGCTTGAAAATCAGATCTGCAGCTGAACTTTGTTTTTCATGTGGAAAATGTTAAATATTATTCAAGAATGGAAGTTATAAAGTACACCTTGGACAAAATGAAACAAGGTTGTATTTTAAACTATCAAACAAACAGATCACACAACTATGTGAGTGAGGCCAACTGCCTGATCCTATGCATTCTTAAACTAAGTCCCACTGAATTCAATGTTCTGAATGAACAGGCCCAGGACTAGATTGTAAACATACTTGCTTGAAAACAGGGCTCAATGGCAGCTGGGACCAGAATACCTTTTCTTAGTGCCAGAATTTAGCAAATGGCACCTATGTGTGAATAATTAAATGAGTGCTTTTTGAACATGCACAGAGTGCATTCATTTATTTTTAATTAACAGGAATTACATACCAGTTAATGACCAAAGATCTGTAAGTAGTTTACATAAAAAGATATAGGATAGTCAATAAAAATGCCAGGTAAAATCAAGTGTTATCAACAAGTTAGTTGACCTAAAATTCATCAAAATATAAATAAAATCAGTTTGAAACAAATTTTCATAATACATAATAAAATAAAATTATATGTTGAAATCCCATGTCTGGGTGGGCTTGCCTAAACAAACAAGGTTGTCACTTTGAATCCACGTGAGGGGGTGAGCTCCTACTGCTCTGTCCCAGCTCCTGCCAACCTAGCAGTTCAAAAGCATACCAGCATGAGTAGATAAACAGGTACCGCTGCAGCGGGAAGGTAAACGGCATTTCCGTGCGCTCTGACACTCGTCACAGTCCTCTGTGCGCCGGAAGCGGTTTAGTCATGCTGATCACATGACCCTGAAAGCTGTCTGCAGACAAACTCTGCCTCCCTCAGCCTGAAAGTAGTGATGAGCACCACATCCCATAACTGAATTTGACTGGACTTAACCATCTGGGGTTCTTTACATTTACCTTGAACTATTAATGGGCAGGGAGTTCCAGAGAACAGGTGCTGCTGCCCCAATGAAGAATTGATTCCTTACAAGTGCAGAATGAAGATTCTTAAATGTCCCAGTTTTGCAGACTGAGGCAGTGAAGTGGGCACCTATGGGGTTAGGCGATCCGTCAAGCATACCAGCCTCAAATACCGTATTTTTTGCTCTATAAGACTCACTTTTTCCCTCCTAAAAAGTAAGGGGAAATGTGTGTGCGTCATATGGAGCGAATGCAGGCTGCACAGCTATCCCAGAAGCCAGAACAGCAAGAGGGATTTCTACTTTCGCTGCGCAGCGATCCCTCTTGCTGTTCTGGCTTCTGAGATTCGGAATATTTTTTTTCTTGTTTTCCTCCTCCAAAAACTAGGTGCGTCTTGTGGTCTGGTGCATCTTATAGAACGAAAAATACAGTAGTTGGCATCTTATATACTAATAATAACATCTTCAACTGCACACCACTAACAAATCCAGTGCAGATCTCACACCACTAACAAAGCCAGTGCAGATCTCAGAGCAGGCATGTAACATGCTGACAGGACATCTTTCCTGTCAGCCGTCATCCTGTAGCATTCTGCACTAACTGCAGTTTCCAGATCAAGCAAAAGGGAAACCCCACATAGAGAGCATTGCAGCAACCCAGTCTTAAAGTTGCCAGTGCCTAGACTACTCTAGTCAAACTCTCCAAGAACAGCTTCTGCTGTTGTGGCAGCTGAAGCTAATAAAAGATGCTTCTAGTCACTGAGGCCACCTGGGCCTCCAAGGACAAATCTGGATTCAGAAGCACCCCCAGATTGCATACCTGCTCCTTCCAGAGGAGGCAATTGTCCAGGGCAGGCAATTGTCTGATTTCTCAGACATGGAAATGACTCATCTAAAGTGCTTCTGACTTGCCACGATTCCCTCATCCAGTTCAGCACTGCATCCAAGCCCTGACCCAGGGCTTGCACAGCCTCTTCTGATTCAGATATTATGGAGAAATTGAACTGAGTGACCTCAGCATACTAATGCCTCCTTGCCCCCAGATCCCCGAATGATCATTCCCAATGCCCATATAGATATGAAAAAGCATTAGGGATAGACAGTGCCCTGTGGCAGCCCATACCCCACATTTCTGGGATTACATAGAAGTGAGGGCTTTTTTTTTTTTAAAGGGTTTGATCCCCAACACCTCTCATTTTAGAAGATAAGGCTTCCTTGGATATAAGATGCATTGAAACCAATGAGACACGGTTCTAGGTTAGGAAGTTTAACCATTTCGACCAGTATTGTCTGTTTCTCTAAGGCAGAATTTTTCAACCCTTTTGAGTCCATGGTTCCCTTATCCAAGTACATTCTTTCTGTGGCACTCCTGTGGGGCTCAGGAGCCCAGTTATGGCACCCCTTGCCTGCAGAACTGGCAGCTCCTCACCCCTTTTCGAAGACCCTCCCTTGTGGAGTGTTCCCTCAGCCTCCTCTCCTCTCCCCTCTCCTTGGGAGTCCTCCGGGCAGCTGCTGCCGCCATCCCTGGTCTCTGAGCCGCCCCCCCACTCCCAAAAGAGAGGTTCCTCCCAGAGGCAACATTCACAATAAACAGCTGTGCAAGCCTTTGGGAGGCAGAGACAGGAGAAGGCATCAGAGGAGGGAGGGAAGGAAAGACAGACAATGCCAGTGTTGCCCTGACCATCATTCAAGGCATCCCAGGGTGTCAAGGCACACTGGTTGAAAACCACTGCTCTAAGGGTTAGATTGTGGTTGCAAAATATATACAATCTGTGAGATGATTATAATGATGATGATGATGTATTTATAAGAATCACTAAAAACATCTGGAAAATGTTGCTAAATAGGATTCAGTTGTAAAGGACTTGTCAAGTGTTGATTCTGAATGTAATAAAATGAAAAGAGAGAAATTCAAGGCATACACAAAATTAAAGTGGGAGGGCACTAAGGCAGGCATCCCCAACCTGAGGCCCTCCAGATGTTTTGGCCTACAACTCCCATGACCCCTAGCTAACAGAGCCAAGCGGTCAGGGATGATGGGAATTGTAGTACAAAACGTCTGGAGGTCCGAAGGTTGGGGATGCCTGCACTAAGTATTAAAATTATGGTGCTAACGTTTTATGTGACTACCAGCAGAGGGCGCCGGAATAAATCGTTGAAAAAAGCCAAGAAGACAGCCTAATTCCAACACCTGCCATCCCTAGTTATATAGATACACTTTGGCTTTAGCAGCGCGCGCGTGCACGCGCACACAAAGAGTGCGTGAGAGAGACCGAGACTGAGTGACTCAACACAACTGAATGGGTATGCAACATCTCAACGAGACCTTGCAAGAACAAAGTGGTTCTACTGGAAAGAATATATTTTTTATTTTTTTAAGTTTTATTTTTTTAAGCTGATGGAGCAGACGACGGTGAGGACGATGTCTGTAGTTGCACCGGCCCCATGAGTATTACGGCTGTGTGTTGACCTGTCATCAGCTTTGAGTAAAGCCTTCTTTTATACATCAGGCTAGTAACACTTAATCAACATATAAATGAAAACAAGCCTAAATCTTTGTATAATATTTGCAAAAGAAATATGTACGACTCCATAGTTGTTCACTTTATTTTCACTTGGTAATTTCTTTGAAGCGATGCGTGGGACAACTCTTTATACCTTACTGCTTATTCATCACAAAGGTCCTCATTCTTTTTTAATAAATTGAAAGACTAATTTTAATTATACTTGTATCAACACTAAAGGGAAGAGCGGTTTCGCCGCGGCGACCGCAAAAAATCAGTGTCCTACAGAGGGCGCTGTTACTCTGCTGAATGATCGTTTTCAGCCGTTCTCTTGCAAGCCTTCCATTAATAAGGGTTTTAGGGTCTCTATAAGCCGTCGAAAGGCAGCTCCCCTCGACTGCAGTTCTTCCCAAATGCTGAGTGTTCCTGCACGGGCAAGGCAGTTAAAATACGTACACGCGATCCTAAAACAAAGCTCTCTTATGCTCCAGCCCTAAACACCATTCCTTAGGCAGAAGTCTGCAATTTGCCTGGACTCGCTTGCCAAGGCATGGGCTTGAGGCGGGAACTCTTAGGCCTCAAATAACTTGCTCAAATATTTTCCCGTGATATCAAATTTGCGCAATTTGTGAATCAGTCTTTCATATAAAAGCGCGGTTCTTTCAAAAGGAAACCTGCTCATTTGCGTGGCTGCCTCGTCGTGCAAAATGTTCAGATCCCGCCACCCGCCAATTAAAGCCTCAATTTCCAAAGTCTCTATAGCTGTAAAGAGAAAAGATGATGGTGATGTTTTACCGGCAATTGCTCTTCTTGCACTTCTTTAGCTAAATTAATAATAATAATAATAATAATAATAATAATAATAATAATACGACTTTTAACTTATTCAGCGCCACAAGAACTTCGCCAAGTTCACTTGGTGAGTTGCTGTGCATGAAGAGGAAGACTGTTCCTTGGGTCTGATGCGTAACCCTCGTGGTGAGGCTTTATTTTGACATCGCTAAGCGCGCCAGAAGCTCAGGCTCTTTAGTCGCGAAGGGGGGGTTCTTTCCTGCCGCTCAAGAGAACGTGGAAAGCCCTTAAGCTGTAGGCAAGCATAGAAGTGAGTGAGTTTGTGCGGGTAGGCTCCCTTATATATGGTGAAGCCAACTCTACGGCCAACAAGGGGTTGTTGGTGAATCGACCACCAACACCAACTCTTCCCACGCGTGGCATTTCCATCACATCAGAGCCCAAAGTGGTAGCGCGCAAGAGCGCAGCCGAGAGAGGGCGAGGAGTGGAAGCCAGCGGCCAAGCTCCGAGTCCCAGAAACGTGGGCGTCAGATCCATCCCAAGCCCGCCGCGGAACTCGCTTCCGAGTCAGAAGGGCCCGCAATCTTCGGCCCACTTGACTCGGGAGGAGGAGACTCTACTGAGCACACAGCGAAAGGGACCTCCGTCGGATTGAGATGAGGCTCCATTTGTGTGAAAAGTGCCCCCCCTGTCAGATTAAGGAGGAAAGGGTAGGTGGGTGGGTGGAGTGCGCGCGCACCCACACCAATGAATATGCACAGCTCCCAAGAATGCATCCCGTTCTGTTTTGATTGCCCTTCCCTGGGCTCATTCTGCATTCGCTGCTCTGCCTGTGTAGGAAGGCTCCTTCCTAATGCTCTAAGATGCGGTTGCCCTTTCTTCCTCCTCCTTCTCCTCCTCCTTCTCCTCCTCCTCGTATGCCTCTCCCCCTTGTCCTCCTCCACACACACCCCGCCACCATCACCGCTCAGCAACGCATATAAGCCAACCTTTGCTGCGAATTCCTCTTACCAGCCATTCTAACTTCCAAGCAAACGCCAACTTGCCTGCCTCCTCTCCTAAGACCAGCCTGCTTTCTGCGCCTTCCCTGGAGGAAGACCCCCGTCTCTCCAGCTCCTGCTGGAAACGGGGGTTAGCGAGGAATGAGGAAGAGGAAAAGTTGGTTGTTCCCCTTTATTTGGTGGCCAAGGAAGCCCAGGGGCAGCTCTCACCTCCCGCCCTGCCTCAGGTCCAAACGATCGATTTATTTCTCGATATTGCAAAGAAACTCTAGGGATATATATACATATTCTCCTACAAGGTCACATGGAGATGTAGGCAAACATGCGTTGGAGGGGCGGGGGGTGCGCTTTTAAAGAGAGACTGAGATTCTAAGGCAAAGGCCTCCACATCAGAGGCTTTTATAAAATCTTTCCAAGGGGCAGAAAAATCGGTCTTGCCTGTTTGATCAAACTTGCTTTGAAAAATAATATTGCAAAATAATATTGAGCAGGGAAGAGCGAAGTCTTAGCTCAAACGGACAGACCGGCGCAAAAAAAGAACCAAAACTATTCACAACCAGGGTATTTTAGAGTGTTTGTTGTCTGTTAAATACATCCAAATCGAGATGTTCCTAAATCTTTGGATTGCTTCGGTTTTAGATCCGAGTGCGGGGGGGGGGGGCTCGTCTAAAATTGCGAAATTAAACTCGTATGTTCCAAATGTACATGGTCAGGTTTAATATTCTCTAACGTCCTGGTCTCCCTATATCTGCGTTTATCAATGAATCGGTAGAGGATCTGTAAATCTCTACACGTCCCTCTTCGGGGTGGGAAAGCATCTTCCCTCATCTCTCATTACAAATAATTAATACTCCTAAAGGGTAGGTTGGTTGGTGTATTTCCCCCCCTTTTATTGAGCCTCGTCTTAAGGAACCTATTCATGCACAAATCTGTGTATATCTGCATATAGCAGCATATATTTCTACTAGTGTATCTATTTTAATAATAGCAGACATGTAAACAAATCAATACCTATAGCTATCTATTTTGCAATGCATGCTCGTCCTGATCAAAAAGTCCACATTAACATTGACTCACTTTCTTATATGCATATACGGATGTGTGGCTGTATATTGATATATTTATATTTATCATGGGTGCGTGCGACTGTGTGTGCCAATATAGAGTTGTGTGTGCATCAGGGGTGTGTAATTATATGCATAATATATGTGTGTTCAATATGTCTATGTGTTCTATATAAACTGTGTGGATGGGAATGATTTTCCTATCCGGCTGAGGTTTACTTCTCCAGCCTATTGTTTCAGACAACAGATATAAGTTGCGATGGGAGAGGAACGTCGGGTTTGGTGTCTGTCCCCCATTTCCAATTATAGATGGATCATTACAGACAGAGAAGTACTGAGAATCCAGACATCTGCTCTTCACATGAATGCACTCACCTCCTAGAGAACAGCCCGCCATCATGCTCTGGAAACTGGTCGAAAATGTCAAGTATGAAGATATCTACGAGGTAAGTATAGAGATAAGAAGCATGTTTTTGGTGAAAAGAAGGAACCTTAGATTTAGAGAAGTGGGGAAGTGCCCGCTTATACGTTTGGATTTATTTCTGAGAGAGATTCTGATGCAGGCGGGCGCCCGGACGCAGACACACGAGCCGCGTTCAGGGGCGACAGGACTTGGAGAGGCTGGTTTTACGCCGTGTTTGTTGTCAAAGGGAGCTGCTTTTTTTCAAAAGAAGAAGCCGAAAAAGAAGCCGAAGAAGAAGCAGACGAGATTTAGACATCAAAGCACGGAATGATCTGGGGGATGACAGAAAGCAACTTAAACGCTGCAGTTTGTTTAGATCTGGAAGTCGGTGTAATTCGATTAGATGCAGCCTAATGCCGTTCATTACATATATAATAGGATAGGCTTTCATTTTCTTCTTTAGTTTTCATCCCATCTTTTCAGTTCCTCAGTGGGGAGACCACCTAAACTGGCCCCTTCTGTAGGACTCTGCACAAGCCCAGATGCAGAAAGACTCTGGAGAAGAGAAGCGGTGGTGCTGGTGGAAGGTGTTCGCTCTGCTTTGGGGTTTTTTTTTCTCGTGAGAACGGTACACGAGGGGGAAAAATCTTTCTCTCTCTCTCTCTCTCTCTCTCTCTTTCTTTCTTTCTTTCTTTCTTTTTCTTTCTTTCTCTCCTCCCTCCCTCCCTCTTGCGTCTAGAAACATCGGGGATCCCCTCAGCTTCTCTTAAAATCGATGCTTGGCTCTCTTTTCTAGTTTTTGCTTTCCATGGGAGGGGGACTGCCCTCTTTCCGAAATATCCGGGCTCCCTCCTAGCTGAGTTCCAGAGCAGGTTAAGGGAGAATTTAGTGTCGCGCTGGTCTCTCTTTTTTTCCCCTGCCAGTGGAAGGAGACGAGGGAGAGAACACCGTCTTTCCCTTTCCGCCGTGGAAGTTTGGGCTGCAAGCGGGGGTTGTGGAGCAGCCTGTCCCCCCTTTCCCGACCCGGGCAGGGTTACTGGAGTGTGGGCCAGGAGGGCGGGCGGGCGAGCAGAGCCGCCGGCCGGTCTGCGGAGTTTCCAACTCGATTAAGAAAGCCAAGAGCCGCGTTTTGCCGGCGATGAGTTAATATTTAAAAGTGCAGCCGTCTGCGGAGGAGAAGGGTGGAGGGGAGACGCCAGGGCAGGCGAGGACGGGGGGCTACTGCCAGAGAGGGCGCCGGGGGGATCCCGGTGGGTAGCCTGCGTCCGACGACGAGCAACGTCTCCGGGGCTGTGTAAAGCTCCTGTCGGGGTAATTATCTACTGAGCGCCGGCAAAATCCAGCCCGGCGTGGGGATGTGCAGCGCCCTCCTCCTCGGGTCCCATTTCTCCCTTCCAGCTCACAGAGCTCGGACCTCTCTTGCGCGCCCTACTCTCCCCTTCTCCCCAAACGCATTTCCAGTGATTCCCTTCAGGGCGAGCTCAGGGCGCCCTGGGGGGACCGAGACCTGCCTCGGAATCTGGCCCCTCTCGAGTGAAAGGGCGGCAGGGTCTCCTCTGTGAAATGGTAACGCTGAGCCTAAGTTGTGGCTCGCAAAGGGGGTCCTCGGCTTCTTACTGCGCTTTGACCGCTGGATTCCGGGCAGAAATTCACGCCTTGGGAAATTCGTGGCTAGGAATCGAAATCCCAGGATTTGTCTCCGAATCCTGCGGGAAATATACAATAGACCCGCTCCCAAGGCAGCTATATAGATCTGCGTGGATATATATATATATATATATATATATATATCCTTTTCTATCTTAAAATAAAAATAAAAAGCCTAAAAGGTGAAGGAACACACGTCCACCCATTAGATCGGATCGTTTTGATAACTGTAAACATATATATATATAAATGCGACTTTCCCCCCTCAAAGAGACGCCGCTGCTGAGAAGGTAGGGAGCGCAGCGCGGCCAAGTGAGAGTGGATTTAGGCAGGAACGTTAAGTTGAACTTTAACTGAAATGGCAGTCAGGCCAGTCGAACGGGTTCTGGGAACATCAAAAAGGTTCTTAATCGCCTCTGGCTTCGCCTAAGAACTATAAATCTAGTATCCTTGCAAATTCATTGCGTAGATTTTACATCTAGGTGGAAATAGAACGCTTTTTTGGCACAGCCAGAGGAAAGCTGTCTATACGTTTGAGATATGTGTGTGTGTGTGCGCGCGCGTGTGTCACACACACAAATAATGACAGGCTAAATAGAAGCCAAGTGCTCTGCACCCTCTCTGTATAGCTTTTCAAAACGAGGGCAGTCTGTAATAACTGGTAGTATTTTAAGTGCTTTAATTACTTCTGTAAACAAACAAATCTCGCTGGCTGACTTAAAAAAAAACACACTGCCGGATTAGAGAAGCCCTTTTATTATTTGCTTTAAAAATTAGAACAAAAGCACCAAGGGCAATCGATTTTCTTTCGTATTTGGAATGTATAATTAAATGTAAAAGAAGGAAATATGATTTCCCCCTCCCCTCTTTAGCCCCTGGCGCGGCTCCAGATCACTTCCTAGCTCCAAATCAGCAGTGCCTCGTTTACACGTCTTCCTCTGCTCGAGTTAATTGAAGTTCTGCCTCTTCCTCGCTCAACTTTTTTTTTGTCCCTTCCCTCTCCCCCAACTCTGCCTCCGCCAGCCCCCTCGTCTGATTACATCTAGTAATTCTCCACTGAATGAACGTCATTTACAATACTAGGGGAGCTCTCGAGCTGCCTGCAAAGCCTTCACGCTCCATTTGCTCCTGCATTCTCCCTTTAAAGTAGTCGTGTAATATTAATAGTCATGAATATCAATTATTATGAGGCGTTGTAGGGAAGGAAAAGGAGAAAGGGGCGCCGGAGCAGTCTGAACCTCGCCTTGGGTTGAAGAGGATTGCATTTGGAAGCTCAAAGGGCCGGGAGGGGGGACAAGAGAGCGGAGCCTTTTTAATACACACACACGCACGCACACACACACATATACACACACACACAGCTTTTGGGGCACCGGATTTTTTTCCTTCTTCGAATTTTTGTTTTGATGGATAGACTCGGAAATACCTCCAGCGGCTCTCCTGGGTGCTCCGCGTTCCCTTGCAGATCTCCTTGATACGTCCCCTCCCGTTGATACTGTTATTCTATCGCTATTTTGTTTTTAGCTGTTTCCAGACTTTTTTTCCCCTCCAGATGTTAGTCCACACCTATTCCGCCATGGTGAGTTGGCTCTGTGTTGTGATTTAAAATTGCCCTGTTCTCTCTCCCTCTCCTCTCTCAGTCCCCCTCTCCCTCTCTCTCTCTCTTTCTTCCTTTCTCTCTTTGAACGCCTTTGGCTTGGTAATTTAGCACAATAATTGGAGGAAGCTCGCATCTGCTTCTTCGGTTTTGCATTGTGTTCTCGGTCTGAGCTAGGGGGGTGAGGAGGGGGGCAGAGCGAGGGGAAACTTTTTATAAAACAAAATTGCTGTCGGGGATTTGAACGACTTTTTTTCTGGAATAGATTTTGTGCGTGTGTGTGTGTGTGCGTGCGTGTAAAATCACAGCTTCACTTCGAATATAGAATCCAGGATTCAGAAGAATATTGATTTGGATTGTGACTCTTTTTTTAAAAAAATAAAAATTAAATAGTGTTTTGTTTTTTACAAAAACTTTTATTCATTATAACGCCAAACACATTTTTGTTAATTTTATTTTTACAGGCGTGAATCAAATATTAGAAAAATATCAATAAATTATATTCTGAAGGCCCCCGCTTCACTGGCTTAATCCTAACTTTTTTCCTCCGATTTTGAGATCGATTTTAATAGGAGAAATGTTCTTTCATATTATTTTCCATACAATCTTCCAGAACGAACCTAGAATCGCATCTTTCCAGTTCTGCCACGGGCAAACGAGCGGGTGGCATGTTTATTTGTTTTCATCAAAAGCTCTTCCTAAAGCCATACAGTGTTGAATAAATGTATATTTGTTCGTGCTCTTGCGAGATTATTCGTGGGGAAGAACCATGGAATGGGTGGAGAAATTCACCCCAGTCCTTCGTGGTTAGAGTTAAGGGGTTTTTTTAATTCCTCCACTCTCTTTTAAAACCAGACTTTTTATTTCATTTATTTTTTGCCATTGTCGCTTGCAGTCGAGAAGTTCGTGGGAAGTTTTGGAACTTAAGGAAAGGAGGCAGGAGTTATTCTTCCGTTTTCCTAATTTGTTGATTTTTCATTCTGCTTTCAATTATACACAAACCATAAGAGAAGCTTTAAGAAACGCCGGGCAGTCTCTTCGGCGCTGAAAACGAGCGGTGCCGAGGGGTGATTAATCTGAATAGGAGCCGTTTTGATAGGCACCTTTTAAACTGTATTTTTTTGAGAATAATAAATTGGGTGTTAAAATCCCTTTCCCAATCTCTCTCTCTCTCCTCTCTCTTTTCTCCTTCCTCTCCCCTCCCTCCGGTTGTCCACCTTCCAGGACCGCCACGATGGCGTGCCCAGTCACAGCTCTCGGCTGTCCCAGCTGGGCTCGGTCTCGCAGGGACCCTACTCGAGCGCCCCTCCGCTGTCTCACACCCCGTCCTCGGACTTCCAGCCGCCCTACTTCCCGCCGCCCTACCAGCCGCTCCCCTATCACCAGAGCCAGGACCCTTACTCCCATGTCAATGACCCCTACTCCCTGAACCCTCTGCACCAGCCCCAGCAGCACCCTTGGGGGCAGAGACAGAGGCAGGAGGTGGGCTCGGAGACCGGCTCGCTGCTGCCCCAGCCGCGGGCGTCGCTGCCTCAGCTCTCGGGACTGGACCCCAGGCGGGACTACCACTCGGTCAGGCGGCCAGACGTCCTGCTCCACTCGGCTCACCACGGCCTGGACTCCGGCATGGGCGACGCGCTTTCTCTCCACGGCATCGGGCACCCGGGGATGGAGGACGTCCAGGTAATGCGCTCGGGAAGGAGCATCCAGCTCCCACGCACACATGCGGGGGTCGCGGGCGGGGGGCGTGCGCGGATGCCTTCCAGCGCTGGAGGTTTTGCTGTGCTATAGAACCTTTCCCAGGATCATTGCGAATGTGATCGACCTCTACTCAAGGTCTGTTTTGGAATAGTGCGCCCCCCCCAACCCCAGGAGGCTTGCATGTTTAGCAATCTCTGGGGCTTTTGTTTTCTGGAAGACGGAACACACCCAGAGTTTATTCCACTCCTTTCTGTCTCTGGTAATACGTTCCCGGCTGCTTCAAAGGACTTGAAACAAACTCTGTCTTGCAACTTCCCTGCGCGTTGCTTGGAAGTCAATGAGTTGTGAGTTGCAGCCATCAATGATCAGCTGAAGGTTGCAGCCCCAAGCTGCCAGACAGCCAGGGGCAGCGAGAGGCAGACTTCTCTGGGATGAAAGTCCCACCGAAATCAATGGAATTTATTTCCGTGTAGACAGCAAGGGGGGCAGCTGGGGGAGCCCCAAGAACTTCGATGGAAGTCATGTGAGTTCCCAGGATACGCACCCCGCCCTCCTCTTTGCAAAAGTTGAAGGAAATTTCAGAGACATGTGCTAGGCAGAAAGTTGGAAATAAATCCACGCACACAATGCACTGCTCTAGATATTTTATTTTATTTTTATTAATAATACTAAATACTAAACTAAAATACTAAACATGTGTTTCAGAGAACTGGATGACGCGCTAAATTTCTTTTCTCCTCCAGTTCGACAGTCAAACGATCAAGGGCTACTTTTTTGTTTAAGACAAAAGCCTCGCACAGTGTCTTGAAAAGAGGTGGCAGTGGCCTATAGGATTAGTTATTTGGGGGGCTACATTCTCTTCCGGCGGGTGGGCGTTCTTTTCTGCAGATGTCATCGTTTCTACTAGTGCATTTATTTTATTTTGCACTGAAGACAGATCCTCTGAACGCAGAGTTATCTCTGTCGTGAACCTACGTGATTTCTGAATTTATTCCAAGAGAACTTAACTCTAATCAACGATTTTCCATTATAGTAAATAATGACAGTACAGAAATTGCTCCAGAACGAAGTATCGTAATTGTTGGTATATAGATTGAACGAAATCCGTTGGGTGTTTCGTTAGGAACTCCCCAATTGCACGAAAGCATGATGGAGCAGAGAGGGTTAAAACGCATCTGATTATTTTGGGCGGTTTGCGTTTATTGCCAGCCTTTATGAACTAAGGCAGAGGGGGCGTCAGATTCCGCGCGCATCAAGCGTTTATGTGCATGACGCAAACGATCCGGAGGAGGAGAGGGACTTGGCAGGCCCGATCCTGCGTTTTTCACTTAAGCGACTCTCCCTCCAAATACGGTCACTGAGGGGGCAGAATGTATGAGTTTGTGTCCAGTGACCAATGGAGAGCGAATTAGAGGATCTGGGCTGAATGGAGAAATTTCATGGCGTGATCCGTATTCTGCTTTGAAAATGGGGTGATGATGGGGGCCAAACATTTATTTGAAAATGGCTCCTCTGAATTCGAATGCAAAGGAATGGGAACTCGGGGCAAATCGCTCAGCTATGTGAAAACAAAGGAAAAATGCAGAGCATCAGTCATAGGGAAGGTTATGGCCCAGGTTTTAGCTGAAGGAAATGTGCTAGGTGTGCGGATTGTTTTGTTCCAAAACAAACCTATTCTAGGCTAGGAACCAGCTCCCTTGAAACCGCCTAAGAGGCAACAGCTATTCTGAGTTATGAATCTTGTGAGTAATGTGCAGTTTTTGGGAGACAGAAAAAGGCAGGTGGAGCAGAAGCAAGCGACCCTGATGGGGAGGAACTTTGTTTTATTTGAAATGCATTTGCTTCTAAGGGAGAGAGAGGGAGGAATTGTCCAGTCTCCTTCCATTATAACTTACTCCTATTTGGGATGGGGGATACACCATAGAATTCATTCTAAACTTTGTAAGAATAATCCAGTTTATCTTGTACACAAATCCAGATGTTTACAAAAAATCACACGCATCGGTTTTATTCAGTTTCTCGAATAACAAGAAAAGGGTTATGCAGAGGGAAAACGGTGCCTGCGTCCCGCCTCCCAATTTCTTAAGCTGTCTGGACAAAAATGTGGTTGACTATAACTGGGGGGAAATAAGGCAAGTAGAGACAGAAAGAAATTAGGGAGAAAATATATAATTATAGAAATACAAACCGAAGCCATGTGTAATCCATTGTTCATGGACAGAATGAAGCGTTTCTAGTAACTGGAGAGTTTTCTGTTGCAGTGCTGTAAACATGTTGCTGTCCTCGAGAGCCTTAAATTCTGCACTTGGTCACGTGCGGCCCGATTCTATGGGTGTTTGCTCTGAAGCAAGTAAATGGTCCTCAAGAGAGGAGCCACGCAAAGGGTAGAGCATGTGGGCGGGCAATTGATGCAGTCCACAACTTTTACATGAACACCTCTCTAGTAAAGGGAGGGAGCGTGCCACCTCCGTCATAACGAATGACTAACTATATGGGAAGATTTCCAGACTGTCCTTAAAAGTTCAGCCTGCTCATATATTCTGGGAAGTTCTGCTGAAATCTGAAATCAGTAGGGCTTGACTTCCAAGGGGAAGTGTTTAGGATCTAGGGACCAGTGACTGAAGGCAGGGGTGCCAGGGTAGCTGAATAGTGAGTGGATGCTGGTAACCTTTGTCTACTGCAAAGATTTATTTAGGAAGATGGGGGATCCATCAAACTGCGTGGGCGTTCTTCCAAATCCTGGCACAGTTAGGCAGTTTTAAGTCCCTTTGACTTCATTGCGAGGAGTGAGAGTACATTTTTGCATCAATCCCACCGGAATCAGCAGAAGTTCTGCTTAATTGTAGCTGGATCCTAGGTGTATATATTGTTAAAGGGCGTGCAAGAGTGCTCAATAAATCCATTTCCTCTTAAGTAATCCTATTAGATGTGAATGTTATGGAATAAGTGAAGAATGTTCTGCAACGTATATTCTTAATGGCATGTTTGGAAAGGTTGCACATCTTAGCGTGCGAGTCTACATGAAATTGATATCTGGCTTATTTGAATTAATGGAATCTACTAGAGCTAGATAGATACGTCCACGAAATTTTGATTCTTCGTTTCCTTGGTGATGCATTTCCTTGATAAATAGCACCATTGAGAAACTATTTCCTCAGGAATACTTTATGAATTATTAGCAGTCATTACAGTATCTATTATTAGAGCGAGGATACTTTGATTTGGTACGTTCTGTGTACATGTGCAATTAATGTTTACTGCAATGTAACTAAGGTATCAGGTGGATGATAAGAAATTTGTTTCTTCTTAATGTCCTTAATAAATTAAGATTAGACAGAGAGATCGATGAAGAAATAGTTATGATATATTCACGGCTATATGCCATTAATATGTCTGCAGTTGCTCCCTATCTTTAATTGAAACTCGAGTATTCGTGATACCAAGTATGATATATTGCAGCGCTTTATTTTTCATCCCCAGCAATATATTACGGGTTAATATTTGATGTAATGTTTTCTTGAAATACCTTATTGTTCTCTCATTAAGCACATCAGTTCAGGTGTTCGCAGGCGAGCAAATATCACAGTCCTGGGAATCCAAAGTATTCGGATTTATGCAGTTTAAACGCTGCTATCGTAAATCAAACAGAAATCAAACAGAATTGCTTACAAAGTCGTGTTAATCAGAACAGGGGTGCTTCGCTTGGAATTGGTGGCTCTGAAGCCTTTTCAATAAGATTGCTTCGGCTTAACTGGTTTCTATATCAGATTTGCTTCAGGGTTTAAGATTCAAAACTACTACTCTTCCTCGCAGCATTCCTGAAGGCAATCCTGTATCCTTCTTACGCCTCTGTGCGCAGGGGCCAGCCCCTTGAGTTTAGTGGGACTTTTCCAGTTAAGTAAGTGCACGCAGGCAGAGTTACACGGAAACCGGTCCCATTGTTAATGGACGGGACTGACTTCCGAGGCACGTATTAAAGGCAGATCACGGTCTCGCTGAAATCAATGCGCATTCGTTCCCCGTAAATCCCTTTCGAACTGAAGTGAGACCTGCACTACTAGGCTTTTCTTCCCTCCCACCACCTCCATTTATTGCTCTCGATATGTCAGGCGGCGATTGGAAAGTGTTAGCTTTTTTATTTAAAATAAATAAATAAATGTGTGCACTTTATAGCGGAGAATGTCCAAGACTGAATTCCACCCCCACCGTCTCTTCTGAGAGGCGCTGGGGATCCAAAGTTAACTTTGCACCCATGCAAAGTAACCCCTGGTATCACTTTTAACTAAAGAAGTCTAGTAATTAAAAGTCTGAGTTGTGTGTGAGTGTGCGTGTGCGTGTTTCCGCATGCAGTCCTAATTAAATCTTTACGATCCTCTCTGTGACTATTAACTGCCAGCATGCTGCGCGAATATCCTGTACAAAAACCCAGCAGGCGGCCGTAATTAGATCGAAAATCAGACAAGACTCTTCTCATTAACTACAACAGCTCAGGCGCGCTGCTGATGAGGAGGCGAGCAGCGGAGGGTGCGAGGAACAGGTTTCCAGGAGGAGCCCCGCCACCGCCATCACCACCGCCACCACCCACCGCGCCTCCCAGGAACTGCGCCCCTAGAGCACAGGCACGCCCTTCGGGGGCACTTAATCCGGATCAACGCCAAGCCCGCCCCTTTACCTGAGCGAAAGAGGATTAGAATCCCCATCCCTTGCAAGAGCTGCGGATGAGCACCAGGGGGTGGGCGCTGCCTCCAATGTTCTGCTCGCGAGCTTCCCAGCGAGACTCAAGCATGGCCACTTTTTTGGGGGGGGCGGGTGTGTGTTCTTAGACGTCCAGCCGGGGTTGTTCAGGTGGGGAAGAACCGTTCCGAGCTAATTATTTTTTTGTTTAGGGATTAGGGGCTTGTGACACCCTTCCCTTGCCCCCAATAAGGACGGAGAAAATGCCCCGGCAGGTATTTATTCCCTCTGGTTGCGTCTGTAAGGTGAGAGACGCGGTCCAGCCGCTCGCTCTTTTACAGAGCCATCCTCCACGCGTTTTACTTTGAAGTAAAGGCACTGAACACAAAGCGAGATTTATGCCCGAGTAAGCGTGCGTAGGCTTGCCGCTTGGAAAGGGGGCGAAAGGAAGAAGCAGGACCCTCCCTCTCCTTTTGTCTAGTGCTCTTCCCTGCGGCTACTTTTGAAGCTGAGGGCTAGCGGACGCTTCTCTGGCAAGCTCTCAGTGCCATGACCACTCGCGAGGACCCTACGTAATTCCAAGTCAGAGTGGCTGGCAAGAGACCGCTTGACCCAGTTACGCAGAAGCCCTTGAATGAAATCCTTCGCTGAGGCCATCCTCAGCAGAAGAGTGGGAAATGTTTGTTAGGTCGGTCACTGTTGCTTAGGGATAGAGTGCCCTGGCTTCTGTTCGCTCTAGACACCCTAGCCTAGACTCAACATGGCCCTCATTGGGAGAGCAAGTGAAATCATCGAGTTAGGCAGCATCAGCGCCGCTGAATTCAATAGGTCATACATCCGAATAGACCTAGGCAGTACGCTGGTAAAACTTTGGGGGAAACACCGGCATTTAAACCCAGACTCTGTGAAGTGAGAGGGAGAGAATGCAGGGAGGCAACCTCAGCCCAGTTTTGCTATACATTTTATATGAAATGATGCAAATTTATTTCCTTTCATTTGTCTTGGAAACCTAATGGTTTTTGTTCGTCTGAGTAACGGTGAAGGAGGGGAGGAATCCTTTTCCTTCATAAGGAGTTTGAAACGCCTTATAGGACTCCCTTTATCCCATGGACTGACTTGTGGGCGCGCATCGCGGTAGCTGTGATGAGGAGGAACTCCTCTGCTTTTTTGAAGATTATGACAATATTTCCACTTACTAAGACTTACTAGGGTTGGACAACAGGTGAAATTATCTTCAATGGGATGGGGAAATAAAGGCTGCGCCGCCATGCATGCTAACTGGGAAGGAAATCCCGTTAAACTGAGGCCCATCTTTCATAATACAGAGGACAAAGTCGGAGGCCTGGTCGTGCCTTGGACCGTACCACTTCAGGCTGCGGGGGGGGGGGCGGTGTTGCTATCCTGAAGAGCAATTCCCGCAGATAAATCTGTGCAGTGGAGAAGGATTCCAAGGTAGTCGTCTCCCCTCTGTGCTAGTTTTCTACGTCCGGGGACTTTTTCTAACGAAGGGACTTTAACCATGCGGCACACCGCTACCACCTGTTGCCTTAAAGAGGTATGGTCCAAACACGGAGTTGGCACTCTTATTCCAGAGAACCAGGCCAGGGTAGGATTTGCTTCCGAGCAAGCAGTAAGCAAAACCCAACCTTTTCTCCCCTTTGAGCCCTAATCGGAACATGCAGCCACACAATACAAGAGCCTTCTGCAGTACCTCCTCTGTGTCCAACCATGCTCGCTCCTGGGCCAGAAGATTGTTTTTTTAGTTGAAGAAAGACGTGCTATGATTACAGGTGTGGCTCCTAGATCATAGCGGGAAGGAGAAGGCTAGAGGGCCATAAAAAGAATTGGCTTCGGTAGACAATCTATTTTAATCGCCTATCAGAGTATCAGTAAGTTGTTGTTTCCCGCCCCACCCTCGTTTCCTTCTCTCTCCCCCCCCAATATACGGAAATAAATGCGAGTTGCCCTTCTCCTCCTGCACAGGTAAGGAAGTTGTTCCAAAAGAAGAACGATAGAAAGCGAAGATCTTGACAGCGTGGGCTTTACATTAAACTTACTTTGTGCTTTACTGATGGCGCGCATCCTTTACTTTAACTGGCAACCTAAAGCACGCTTGCTCGGAAGTAAGCCCAATTGGGTTCAATACCATTTACTTATAAGTAAACATATAAGATCGGGTTGTTTCGAGATCGTCGACTTGGCTAAAATAGACCCACTCGGAGTGTGTATTCCTAAATTCCAAGCAAACTCGCATAGAATTATTATATTGTGAATGTGCGCTATTTCAAATGGTCTTATTGTCTAGCTAGGACAAATAAAGGAAATTTTAGAAGCTTGAAGGAATAAAGTCGGTGTATAATTTAGCTCCTTTTTTTTTAAGCAATAAAGAAGACAAAAAAGCCCAGGTGTTTTGCACCTCTTTCTATTAGATCCTCTAATCTGGGAGCGCTTCATTGCCCTGTCGATTTAATAAGGAACGCCTCTCCTTCCCTAGTGAATTAATATAAATGGTAATAACAGGAATTCCAGATCCTGGGCTGACGTGATGTCGTGCGCGCGCGCGAGTGCATATGTTTATACCTACGTGTACGTTGTACTCTGCCGGCCAGTCAATTTGAATAGTGATACCCCCTCCCCTTCTTTTTTGTATTCATAGTCAGTAGAAGATGCCAATAACAGCGGCATGAACTTGTTGGACCAGTCTGTCATCAAAAAAGGTATGGAAAACATTTCAATACTGTGTGTACGCGCGCGCATGTGTGGCATTTGTTTCACAGTTTGGGGACAATCGATAGTCCTTCCAAGTAATGAATATCCTTTTTCTACCTACTTGGAAGTACTTATTCCACTGGGGCTTACTCCCGAGTAAACGTGGATAGGCTTGAATTGCACGTTTCACGTGGAAGAGACAAGAATACGTCAGTAAGAAACAAAGAGAACAGAGGGATTAATAAAGGCAGATAAAGGAGGGAGGGTAACGGAAGCAAAACTCCCTAATGATCATGTGGACCACACTTGTAATCAATGAAATTTGCTTCCTGGGAACCACAGCTGTGATCCTAAGAACACGTCACGAGCCTAGGAATGTGCCTGGGAAGCAACCAGTTTAATTGCGCAATGGGGCTTGTTCTCCAGTATGTCTATGAAGAATCCTAGCCTCGAGCTCTGTGCACATTAAGTTGGGAGTGCACATTAAGTTGTAGCCATCGAAACTTCCGTCCCGGTAAGCACTCATAAGACCTGACTGTTGATTGGCTGCATCTCTGAAGTTTCATGGAACCATTTTGTAGGCAAACGTTTTGAGGATTGTGATGTAAAAGCGGAATGAACGGATCTTGCATCTAAGTGAGGTTACTTCCCTTGGTGTGGGAATGAAAGGTTTCCTAATTCTGGAATGGATCTCCCCTCCTCCACTCAGAAAGGGAAAGTCCAGTTGTGAAACGGCCGCAAATCATTTCATAGCTTCCACCCCCCACGTCAATTCTCGTTTTGCGTAGAACAATGGCTCTGGCTAAATAACAAAATTCCCATGATCCTTGGCGGTTGCGATTCGGGCCCCTTGTTTACATTGCCTCCATGCTGCTTGCCCAATGGCAGCCTTGATTTTAAGGCTGAGCCTTGTGCACAATTCACTTGGGAGTAAGCCTCATTGAACCCAGCGGACAACTCCTGAGTAAACGTGCACGGGTGTGGCAAGAGCTTGGTTGTAAGGGGTTTTCCCAGCCTGTGGACACACACACGCACACACACACACACACACACGCACGCCTGTCCTTCGGGAAAACATGGGATGGGGAGGGTTACGAATCGCACATGCTCCATTAAAAAACAAATCTACACATGCATACATGATTTAGTGTAAGTGTAGCTTCGCCCCATACTGTTAGAGGGAATGTGATATTAACAAATGTTTGCAATCTCTTGTACAGCTGTAAGCAAAATAATTAACTAATTAAACTAATTAAATGTAATTACAATAACTCATTTTGGGCGTATTGCAGCTGCTTCACCCTTTCCCCAGCTTCCCCCGCCCCCCGTTTGAATTTCCCTGACAGACTCTTGAAAACGTGGGACGATTACGGCGATAAGGCAATAGACATTGAGCAGACCCTACTCAACGAAGAGAGGGGTGCTAGATTTAACGATCTCCGGAATTACTACTGCTAGATCCAGTTCTGAACTGCGCAGGATGGGCGTGGTAGCACTGGCTCTTCGGCGTCCTAAATGGCAGCCCCAATTGCCGGGGCTCGCCTTACTATTAACCACTCCGGCGAGCTCCCTAACAAAGCTCCCCCAGCACTGAGAGGAAAGGAAAACAAAAAACTGTCTTTAGACCCCGATTTTGAGAGTTCCTCTGAAACTCAAGGCTCCCGTCCCAAAATCTGCTTCTATAATCAAGGGAAAGGCGGCTTAAGGAACTAAGTTTAGTGGAAAGGACGTGATTTGTTTCCTTAAAATCAAATCTGTGTGGCTCCAAGGTAGAGGTGGATTAGCGGCGGAGAGAAGAGCTTCGGGCCCTGTAATTTCTGCTGCTTTCATCATGATGCAAGGCTGCGTGTGGGCGCAGTCCTCCCCAGCATAGGAGCCAACTCTGAGGGGCTTCGGCCCCCACAATAAAATATTTGAGGGGGTCGGGGCCCCACAAAGTTGATGGGCATTCCCATTCAAATGGTGTGTGTGCACTGCATTACATGGTCGATAATGTGGGGCGGGGCTTAGCTGGGCCCCCACAATATTTTATTCAAGTTGGCACCCCTGCTCCCCAGTAAGTCAAAATCCCGATGGGACTGGATCCTACTGGTTTTAGTGCAGGTGACATAGAACTCGGCCCCACAGATGCGGGCGGGACCTGCTCCCGAGTAAACGTCCATAGAATTACTGCTGCCTTTATGGGAAATCCTAAACTGGAATGAAGCGAAAAGGAAGGGCACAGTTCTGCTCATGATTGGGAGCAGAGCAGGCAGCCCTCTTCAGCTGACTGGCTTGGGCAGGAAAGGTAGATTGCACGTAGATTGGTCTGCCACCATGGAGCTCATAAGCGCGTTGCTTTTTCTCAGGTCCTCTTCGTTAACTGATAGCCCAGCTTCGAAAACGTGGCCTCAGCCTTGGCGCACTTTGCTTGCGGGAGCAGGGTACTTGCCCCCTTCAGCCCGTGCGCTCTTCCATTGCCTTGAATGGCAGTAGCATCTCTCCTGGGTTGCACCGTTACAGCCCAGTCTTATAGCACAAGTCTCTTCCGAAGGCAGAGTACTTATTAATAACTTTCTCGGGAGGGAAGTAACTGCATATTTTATAGAACGGCGTCGTATAAATTTCGATAATGAGCAAGCCAATCAATTTAAGGCCGCGGCGCTAAACAACCGAAGCCAATGAAACAACTAAGTAAATGTGATTGAGGTTGAGGGATGAGGATGAGACTATATATCCTCCAAATGTTGTTGGATTCCCTTTCGCATCGGCCCCAGCCAGAATGGCCAATGTCTAGAGATGATCATCATCATTTATGACTTGTACCGCTGCGAATTGGAGTCCGGCGGCATCCGCGGACACCACGTTGACAACCCCGGCTATTGTCGCCTTTTGCTAGCGAAGTCAGTCCTGTCGAACTTAGTCCTAAGGAGTCCTTCCCTCCTGCCCCGGTGTGTGTGTGTGTGTGTGTGTGTGTCTAACAAATCTCTCTACATAGGAGCAAACTCCTAGAGGTCAACGAGTATTTGCCCCCTGCCCCCCAAGTTGATTGGCATTGCTTTTCAAATGGTGTGATCGATTATGCAGGGCGGGGCTTACCTGCCCCCCCCAATATATTTTATTCAAGTTGATTACTCGTAGCACGATCTTAAGTATTTTTGGTTATATTGCCTTCCTTGTCACCTCTACTGAGAAGTGAGCTTCTTGAGTTCAATGGGGCTTACTCTCAAGTAAGTTATATAGGATTGCAAGCATAGATGCCAATTGTATAGTATGCAGAATCCGCTAACCCAGAAATATTACCTCAGGTTAAGAACTTTGCTTCAGGATGAGAACAGAAATCGTGCTCTGGCGGCGCAGCTGCAGCAGGAGCCCCTTTAGCTAAAGTGGTGCTTCAGGTTAAGAACAGTTTCAGGTTAAGAACAGACCTCCAGAACGAATTAAGTTCTTAACCAGAGGTACAACTGTATAAAGGAGTGGGGTATCTGTTCCATTGGAAGCCATAGTAACTGCGTTAGAATCACTGCCCAGATTCGCATTCACTACTCTTAGAAGAGCGTCCTGTTCTTAAAATCAGATGTGTGGACGACTCCCCACACCTTCTGCACACACAATACAAAAGTCTTGGGAATTCAATGTTTTCCTTCCAGTGAGCCTTGTCTGAAATCCCTTCCGAGAAATATGGCTGGACAGGTTTCTAGTAGCAAAACAACGAAAGGCCTAGGGGCATTTGTGGCTGCCTGTCCTTAAGCAGATCCTGGGAAGAGGGAAGCTGCAGGGGCCGCGAGGTGTTTGCGCAGATAGCTGCAGGATCTGTGGCAGAGAGAAGGCCGCTCTCTTTCTTCTGGCTGGAACCTAATGCCAAAGGGATCGTTGCAGCTGCAACCCTCTCTGCTACGTGTGAACGGATAGAAAAGTGGAGTGACGCTTCCTATTTCACACAGAGCGGTGCCCATTTTTCTAGGCAAAAATATCCCAGTGACAAAGGAGATGCGATATGGAGATATATTAACACATTCAGCTCATCCCTTAGCGCCCATGTCTTACGATCTTTGAGGCCTATGAAAGTAATGGCGATATCTGTCATCTTTTATTGCCACGCTGGTCCCAGTGTGTGACACTCCCCCCTTTTTTTCCTTAGCGTGAGAGGGAGGAGAGGAAAGAGGTAACCCTCTTCGTTCCTTCTAGTAGTCTGTTGAAAACCTTGGTACCAAGCAGAATAAAATTCAGTTCACATCTCTACCTTGCACACATCCGGCTGGTGGCAAGCTCCACTGGAACTGGGTGGCTAAGAGAGGAGGTTCGCATGTGCGGGCTTGATTCTGAACTGCTGGGAGGCCTGGTGGAAGAAGCCCCTGCGGACAAATGGCGCATCTCACCTGTAAACACGCAGTTCCGTTTCAATTCAGACAGTTCACACGTGCAGCTGCAATAATAATAATAATAATAATAATAATAATAATAATAATAAAATAAATAATTATTTCTATGCCGCCCATCTGACTGGGTTGCCTCAGCCACTCTGGGCAGTTCCCAACAACAAACAGTAAAAGCTCAATACAACACACACTAAAAACTTCCCTGAACAAGGCAGAAAGCGTGGCGTGAATAATCAAGCAATGTATTTGAACGAATGAATCAGTCCTCAGTACCCAATAAACCTGCTTTCGGATCTGGGTGCGAAACTCTCTGCCTGCCTGTCTAGTTTCTTTTGAAGCAGTAGCAGCGGCAGCAACAAAAACCAAACCTGACCTGCGTGTGCTGCGGAGCCTCTGTTGTGTTACGTACTTCAGAGTCCGATGGCTGGTTCTGCTGAAGGGCCCGTGAATTTAATTTAATTTGCAATCCTAACCCCGTTTGCCCGGCTGAATTCAGTAGGAAGTAGTAGACACCCTCGCTTCCATAGGGACTTCAGCCTTAAGCAAACTTACTAGAGCGCGAACCCCACTGAGTTTAGTAGGAGCTTACTTCGTAGTAAAAGTGCGTTGGGTCGAATTGTTAATTTAACCTAAGACTACTTTTCATAGTC